CCCGTGGCTACTGCTACAGTCGAGAGATCATTTTCTGCGATGACTTTTGTCAAAAATCGTCTGCGCAATCGAATTGGAGATCAATGGTTGAATGATAGTTTGATTGCTTATATTGAGAAAGATGTATTTGACAAGATTGAAAATGATGTAATTATGGAACGTTATCAAAATATAAGAACACGTAGAGAACAATTGTAATAAAATATCTCTTATTTTAATTTTTTTCGTCACTTTATGTAAGTTTGATTGTGCCCCCAACATAAAAATTCTGCGTCCGCCCCTGCCTTGAGATAAGGTTCAAAGTCGATTAATCATGCCTTCTTCTTTTGACTTTTGATGACTTGATCAAGTCTTGTATAAATTAATTCGATGGCATGCAATCCACAAAAGAAAGTTAATTTATAATCACGGGGTGTCACCCTCGCAAGCAAATGTGTGTACTTGGCATGAGGAACATAATTATTATCATGATGCACATGCATCATGACGGTGCAACGTAGGCTTATGGCCCCATAAACATGATGGAGTCCTACCATGCCATGATGCCTCTCACCCAATAGACAGGAAAAATATATATAATGATTAATTCCTACTCTTCTTAAATCATGATTTACTAAGTTAATTAATTACTTGTTATGTCCCTTTTAAGTTGTTATTTAAATTAATTTAATTTAGCCAAAGAAGGCTGACCTTGCAGGAAAGAACATGATCATTGCTTAACATTTCCTTTTTAAAAGTTTTCGGGATTTGCAAATATTCTATGATAGAAATTTTAGAATGAATATAATTGAGATATGGAAATGCAATGGAATTAGATAATTTGTATAAGTTTTTTTGGCCCCAAAAAATACGTCAACAGAATCTCTTCCACTTCCCCTCCATGTAGACATTACCTGCACCGAAACATCCCGTTAAGAGACAAATGCCGCCGATCAAGACAAATGTCTGACGATCGTTTGCACTCCGATGATCAAGTCAATGATCGAACGAGATGAAAAGAAAGTGCAAGGGAGGGAGAGGGAATTTGAATGGGATTAGAAATCATACATCGGTTATGATAAATGTGCCACGTGGATAATGTGCCTATCCCAAGATAAAATTATTTAGTTTAATAAGTTCAATCCAATAAATAGTCAAGGTTAATATACATTTTTCTATTTTCTAGGGCATGAAAAGAATATTTAAATCTTTGACGATTTATTTAGTAAAACGAACTATAAAATACTAAATAATATCTTATTTATTTATTATTTTATTTCTTCACTCTACTTTAAAAAAAACGACACTAGGAGTATAATTAGCATAACTATAATTTAATAAACGTACTATAAAAGTAAGATTTTGAGGAAAACTGAAGTAACATAATATCCTTTATTCATTTTAATAAGGTTGTATTCTGACTTTGCTTTAAACCTACTTTTAAAAGCGGGCCCGGTTCTTGGATGGTATATATTATTTAATACAATACAATGTTAAATATAAATTTTATGTATATTAGTATTTAGTACGAAGTATAAATCTAATACGATGAATATTGTATTGTTAATATACATTATCAAAATAATGTATATTGTTTGAGCCACGTTAAAGTTTTTATTTTTATTCTTCTACTCATTTTTAACCACACATTTTTTAATAAAATAATATTTTCCATCACATCAATAACTATTCCTTCTTTTTCAACCACACATTCTCCATATATGTTCCCAAAATAATGTGGCTTGATATAGGATAAAATCTTAACTCTTTTCTTATTTAGCCCCGACTCCTATTTGATTCAATATAAAAAGTTGGATTAAAATTTAAGTCAAAATCAACAATTAATTTTAATCACATATTTTATAGTATTCACGACTTTTCAACCACACATGTCATTAACTTAGTCCTTGTTTGGGCACCTTTATTTCACATTTTAATGAGAATAATAATAATTTCTTGGAGAATGTAAGGTTGAAAAAGAAGGATTTTTTTTTTTTTTTTTGTTTATATGTAATATTATTTTATTGAAAAATGTGGGGTTGATAAGAAGAGAGAGAATTTTTTTTTAATTTAATGGGGGTCAAACAAGGGGTTAATACTCTAAAATACTATTCAATCCATCTCATCAAACTTGTCACTCTTTGAGTTTTAAAGTTAGCATAAAAAGAAGTGCTTCACATCGTAGCAATTTGACTCGAATATTTAATAAATCCGAGGAAATTCAAATTGTTTGTTGACATAAATAAAGTTTAAAAGAAACCATATAATTATACAAGTATTGAACTTAAGACATATGACTAATCTTTTTAGAAAGAAGATCTTTTTCTCTTAGGGAGCTTACTCAATTTTCTAGAGTCATACATTTCACATATTTCTATTGTTTTGCATGATATCATCAAATAATGCTATTCTTCTATAAGAAACTAAAATGCACTTGTTAACGAATTTCTCAAACAATGTGATATCTTAGAGTGAGTAAATCTTCAACCCTTTCTTTTCTTACTAGGACTTTTCTTGTGATTAGGACCAATACACATATGAGCTATAGTTACAAATCGACCAATAACAATTAATATAAGCAATAGTTTCAAATCCAAAGGTTAATCGGCTAGGATATATATGTTATTGACCGAATGTAGGGAAACTCAATGAAGAGGTGATAAGCTTCTATGCTACAAAATCGATTTTCAATGGAATAAAAAGATATGTTTGGTAGAATCGTAATGGTGAAAGATGAACGAAATCGAAATGTATTCAATGTTTCATACGCTATATGGATGGTTAGAAGAGATTTACTTTACATGGATCATGTTACATGTATTGATTTTTTTACTTAATTCCTTACTGACTACTCACAATAAGGGGTGGAGACCACATCTTGAAATTTTTTTATTCACGCGGGGTCCTCGTGCATATGAGAGGGGGTAAACAATTCGATACATTAAATTATGTACATATATCTTTACTCTTATCTAATTTCGGGGACAAGATTTTGAGTTCACAAACATGAGGAAACCAATAACTCGCATGCACAAATAGTTGCCAAAGCACGCAGTCAACATAACTAGGTGCGCGTGCCACCTTACTACTTCCAAAATCATTAACAAAATTGCTTACCTTGGAAAACGACGGTATCAAGAGAAGCCCATACAAGAAAATCTATCTCACTTTGCGAAACTAAAACATTAATCTATACAAATTCGATAAGTAGAAATCTACAATCTAAAAAAGATTATCTTCACTATACTCGTCTAGACACATTCACGCATAAACCGATTCCAATGAGATGATAACTTAAGCCAATGAGCACCATATTCGTCAACAAAGAAGACAATGCCATTAGCTCCACGTACGTTTGGGAATGGGTCGACTACTTCATTAGCTATTTGCTGATCAATCTAGAATCGAAGATCTATGTAAAGAGGTTCTCGGACCAGTAAATTCATTTCGAAAAATCTACTACTACTCTTGTGTTATTCTCAACCTAGCCCGACTCGAGCTTAGGAGGACTATCATGGGACAGTTTTGTCACTTCCTGTAACGATTTTAGCAAACGACAAATCCTAGTAAAAAGATAATTTGGAACATATGTAAAAAATTGAGGGGTAAACTAATATAATAATACAAGGGCTCAACTGACGTAAAGAATCTAGGGAAGTGAGAAAGAGAAAATACCCAAAGCAAACAACTCTGGAAAACCAGAATCTCTATCTGTCTTCAAACCCTAAGTAAAGAATAAAAGAAATCAGTCATAATTATGGCCCTCTAAAATTTGACACAAAAAGTTAAAGTTTCAGTCTACTGTAAATTAACCCCCCCTCCCTTCTCTTTTTCATTCGCTTTTCACTCAATTTCTTTTCTTTCAAGAATTTATATCTCATTAGAATAAATTTAAGTGTACAATATTAATTAACAACAATGATTAACAATCATGTGTTGTCAAAATTCTAGCATGTAATGTAGAAAACAGTTTTTTTAAAAAATGGATATGATGATACCAAATAGGATGTTGTACAACCAACGTTGTACACGTAGCATGATTCAACTTATTATGACATGTCTTGGTGACAACCCTATATTTATAACCACACCCGACATGGGCAAAACTCTAAAAATTCCCACAAAATTAGTTCTAGTATTTTTATGCCTAGAAGTTGTGCATTGTCAGAAGACAAAACTAGAGCATAGAATAGAAGCTTAGGGAGAAGGAAGGTACAAGTCAGGTTTATTTTCTTGCAGTTTTGAAGCTTTGGAAATGGTGAGAAAGTGAGGTGGATGGATTTTCCGTCATCGTGGTCATCGTTCGGAACTCTATCACACTCTGAATCTGATGGAAATAAGACGTATCACGCTTTATTTTCCGACCTTTGGTACGGTCTCGACGACAGAAGAAGACAAGACAAACGTATGCAAATAGAAACAGTTCTGTTAGAAAAAACAAGACATATGGGTTCTAGCAGTTGCAAGATTTGTCCAATCATTTCAGTTTTTGTTTGGTTTCTGTTGTTTCTCTTCTGTGTTTGTTCTGCAAAGTCACTGGAATCAGTGAACTTCAATGAAGCCAATCAGAGTTTCTACCCAGGCAAAGAGTTGCACGAGTTGAAAATTATCAGAGCCCATCTCATGAAGATCAATAAGCCTGCTGTTAAAACAATTCAGGTATATGTTTTTGTATGCAATACTAAACACGACTAGACATTATATGTATTAAAGAAGAATCTTCTAACTTTTTTTTCCTTCGATTAGGACTTCAACTTAAGTGCTTAATTGTTTGTTGCTCAAAGAATCTAACTTTCCATTCTTGTTTTAGTCTTGTTTTACTCTTTTTTAACCTGTTTGTGTCCACTTATTAAGCTCATATTTGGAGTAGATTAAAATTATTTTTAGTAGAATTGATAAAAGTTGACAAAATGTGTAGTTGAAAAGTTGTAGATTCAATGAAATATGTAGTTAAAATTAATTGTTGACTTTGACTTCTGATTAAAATCTGATTTTGATCTAACCAAACCGAGTACAAGTTCAGTATTTCTAATCAACTGTTTTCTGGTGCAGAGTCCTGATGGTGATCTAATAGATTGTGTATTATCTCATCAACAGCCAGCTTTTGATCATCCTCACTTAAAAGGGCAAAAACCACTGGTAACTAAATTATTCTTCGATAAGCTGACTTGATTCAAATGGATTCGACTTGACAATATCGTTCTGCTTAGTTCCATTAATCGAACCAAAAGCGTCGTTTAAAGCATTTTCTATACATTCTTGAATTTGTAGGATCCACCAGAAAGGCCAAAGCGGCAGAGATCAAGATTTGGGATGTTTTTCCAAGAAAATTTTCAGTTATGGAGTCTGTCTGGTGAATCATGTCCCGAAGGAACAGTTCCAATTAGAAGAACAACTGAAAAAGACATTTTGAGGGCTAGTTCATTATCAAGATTTGGAAGAAAAATTCCAAGACAATCACGAAGGGACTCTTCGAGCAATGGTCATGAGGTTAGTACTTAAAATTGCATTCATATTCATTTATACTGTTTAGTATTGTCCAATCTCTATACCAAATGGACTTGCATACGAAGGGCATTTGGAATATAAAAATTTTAACGATTTAAACTTTTAGACGAAGTGGTTGTTGGTTTATTTAATATTTGCATTTGCAGCATGCAGTAGGTTATGTGACTGGAGACATATATTATGGAGCAAAAGCAAGTATAAATGTGTGGGCACCTCAAGTAGCAAATCAGTATGAATTCAGCCTATCTCAACTGTGGGTAATTGCCGGTTCATTTGGCGATGATCTCAACACCATTGAAACCGGTTGGCAGGCATGTTACTAATCTTTTGCTCTATATAAATCTTGGTTTACTCAACTAAGTTTTTACTATAATAAAATAATTTTATAAAAAAGGGCCGGAAAATAAGCTCTTGATTCTGAAAAACCTTAGTACAGCCTATTAATTTATTGATGATATGTTTAGCACGTTAAATTGAATCGCATTTGACGTAATGAAAAATAAAAAATAAGTTAAAATCTTGTTCCCAAAATTTCATTGACGGTCAACTAACTTGATTTGTTACATTTCGATCATTGAACGTAGACATAAGTGCTAAGTCGTTTAATTATTTCCACAGGTTAGTCCAGAGCTGTATGGGGACAACTATCCTAGGTTTTTCACTTACTGGACTGTAAGTTTTAGAATTGATGTCGTTTTTTTCTCCTAAATAAATCTTCTATTGATTTCTTTATTCACGCCTAAAAAATAATCATTAATTTTCATAATTATAAATTTTAATTTTAATTGATTTTTTAATTAATTTGCAGAGTGATGCATATCAAGCCACAGGGTGTTACAATTTGCTGTGCTCAGGCTTTGTTCAGACAAACAATAGAATTGCAATTGGGGCAGCAATTTCTCCGACATCCTCGTATAATGGTGGCCAATTTGATATTAGCTTATTAGTATGGAAGGTATTCACTACATGCAAAATTAATATCATATTTTGTTTTATGTCTTAATTGAAAATAATCATGCATTTTGACCACCTACCTTAATTCATTAAAAGTATTTAAGAAGTTTCTTTAAATAATTAGATGAAGCTATAAGAAATAAGGTGATGAAATTTCATGATGCATTTTGACCACCTACTTTAATTACACTCACAGCATGTCGGGCTACGGCAAAATGATTAAATTAATTCAATTATTTTGTTTCTGCTTTTCTACTTCTCTATTCTTTCAAGCAAAGAAATTTGTGGCCCATCATCCACTTTGTTATTATCATCACACAATTAAATCCTTCCATGATAATCACACCATTGGTTTTCAATCTATTATTCAAGTAAAAAGCTAGTCCTTAAACGTTCGTTCTTTTACAATCAATCTAACTTTGTTGAGTCGTGATGTGATGTACTCATAAAAATATGTTTTACTTCAAATGTATGGATGTTGATCCAATTGAGTCACAAAAATTAGCTCCATAAAGTCCGATTCGGGTTGGGTTGGCTTAGGGTAGGGGTCGGGTTGTAAAAAGCCCAAAATTGAGTGTAACGGTTTGGGGTCGGTTTTGGGCCAAACCCGACCCGACCCATTGTCCACCCCTACTGATATGTGAGGATCACACGATGCTTTTATTGGGTTATGGACAAGTTTCATTATTCGAGACTAATTGTGCAGCAATAATAAAATGATGAGGGCCAACTTACTCATTTTTTAAAGCTGGATACAAACTTGTTAGTTGAACAATAGGTAAATTTTTTTCAATTCTTTTGACTATTTTCAACCTTACTTTTTACGTGGTGTCAATTCATTAGGTTCTATTCAGTTAAATTTAACTCGATTATATGTTTTAAGTATATAACAAGATCGATACCGGATGTCGAGAGTCAAATCGATCGGTAAGTCTAATTTTATAGCTGCTTGTAATATAATTGGACCATTAATAATGATTAGTCTTACTTGCGATTATATTTAATTTAAGCATGATGAAAATAAATTTTCTCTAATTATATACACTTCTATTTATCAGGATCCAAAGCATGGAAATTGGTGGCTAGAATTTGGGTCTGGAGTTTTAGTGGGCTATTGGCCATCTTTTCTATTTACACGGCTTAGAGATAATGCAACTATGGTCCAATTTGGAGGTGAAATTGTCAATAGCAGTCCATCTGGTTTCCACACATCAACACAAATGGGCAGTGGACATTTTGCAGGAGAAGGGTTCGGAAAATCGGCATATATTCGAAATTTACAAGTAGTAGATTGGGATAACAGTTTACTCCCACTGTCAAATCTTAAAGTTTTGGCTGATCGTCCAGAATGCTACGATATACAAGGGGGAGTTAATGGAGTTTGGGGGAATTACATTTATTATGGAGGACCTGGAAGAAATTCGAAGTGTCTTTGAAGAGAAACGTACATGGTAAAATGGATGATTTTTTATTTTTAAAAAAAATATATATATATCTTTCAGTGTTATTTCGGAGCCTATCTCGTGGTTGTTACTCGATTTTGGATTATTCTTTTCATATATATATTTTTTTCAATCTTACAAGTGATCCATTAAATTTTACCTCCTTTAAGGAGCAATGTAAATTGGTAAATCTCAAAAGTGAATATAGTACTTTCTGTGGCATGCTCACTTTACCATTGAAGTCTACATAATCCCCATTGAGGCAAGCTCACTTTACCATGGAGACTCCACCACCTCCTCGATAGTTCATTGTCACATAACCTCCCGCTCGTGCATAAGTGGAACTCAGACTTGGATCTTCCACACATGGTAGATTCAATGTCATGCTTCCACATTGCTCTGACATTGCATTTGGAGACGGGTTTGATTTCAAAGTGAGTAACGTGACCATCATCGTCTTCAAATGACATTAAATAATAAGTCCAATAACATGAGTAAAATGTCCTTGAAATCAATTGGACAAAACCCGACATTCACATGTCTAGCTAATGTGGAACTTGTATTCACACGTCTCCAACAAAATGCTGATTAGAAACGTTCTATGTTTTATTCGAAATGTTTGGTTTAATGCAAGTATTACAAGAGGAATTATACTTGGTGTACATAAAAAAGTATACATAAGGGTGTCCATTCCCTCACATAAGGTGGGACCCACACTTACAAGAGTATGGAGGGCAGAAATTCATGGAAAAATCTACATGTACATAATATATTTACATAATAGTCTCCATAATGTGATATGGACAAAATCTCATTATTGATGTAAAAGTATGAAATTTGAATTATGGTTGAATTCAGTGTCACGTGTAATTATGGACACCATTTATGTACAGATTTATGTACATGTAGCACTTCTCGAAATTCATTTGAACTTGGTATATAACAACATTTTCACTCACATACTACAACTAGAAGATGATATAGAACATATAGAAAGAGAATTTAAATGTGAAAAGCTTGTAAAATTGAATTTCCAGCGATGAAATATTTGTTCTAAATACCATTTCTTCAGAGGAAAATACATGTATCATTTTGGATTCAGGTTTTGATTGCACTAGGCAATATACGCAAACATTTAACAAAAACGTGGATTTCTTGTAAAAGGAAAAAACAAGCAAATGAGATTAGTTACAAATCTCAGGGTTCAAACAGCACTGATCAAATTAGACAAAAATGGCCCAGAACATCACAATTTTCTCTACAGTCGACCCCTCCAAAAATTTGTCACTACGAGGCACCTCAGCTAATTCGATTCCTTTGTATCATTTGAGCCAAAAAAGCATGTGCATTTTATATAAGCCTGAGCTCGTATTCACCTGCCATTGTAATATATCTCACCCATGGTAGAGCCTGATATCCACTTTTTTCGATGATCTTCAGGTAACGAACCTAAAGGACACAAATTCTCAAGAATTACGATGAAAATGATCCAATCATACTAAACAGAAACAAAGTTTACGTTGTCAAATGACTAAAATCAACTTAACATGTTTTCACGATATTGCCAGATATCATGGGCTTCGAAAAAAGTAGTTTTCTGTAATAATGCCGTTGCAGAAGCACGGTTAAAGGCGCAATAATCTTCAAAAACAGCTTGTTAAGGGTTTTCACCCCTTTAAATGATATGCTTAGAATTTTGAGATTTCGACAGAGATTATTACCAGGCATGTTCATAAGAAAATTGCTGATACTAAATAGTAATGTTACAACATTTTGACAAATCAAACTACTGTTTTTATAGCTCACCTGTATTCCTGAAACTGTAAAATATGGTATTTCAAACTTCACGCGTATAGGAGCTTTTCTCTCAGGAGCTGATTCCTCAGATACAATGCTGGGTAGCCTAAACTCTGCTCTCAACATATATTCCTTCAAAATAAATTAAGCAAAAAAGTATCAAGTGCATGTATATGTATCCAAGTATATGCGTTTCCATCTGAGTATAGTTCAACACCAATGAATACTAGAAGAAAATATAGACAATAATTCACAGTAGATCAGGGAGTTGAACCAAAATCTTACCTTACCACCTGGAAAAGATTTTATTTTCCAAACCAATGCATCATTTTCAGGTGCATAAGAAGCAGACCCCAATGATGTTCGAATATTAGGATTGGTAGCATCCGATGGCACAGGCAACTCAATTTCGACATTAGTTGCAGTACTGAAATTTCAATTTTGCATAAAGATTAAAAACATGATGGCCAGCAACACGGAAAATAAAGACTCAGATGAAATATCAAATACAGATGAAGTTGCACCAAAATATTCACTTCATAAATGTACCTGCGCTCCTTGAACTGGCTCCTGGCTTTGACCATAAATTCTATCCGGCTCCTAGAATGTCTTTCAACCTGAGCTTCGACCCATATCAGAGGCTTTACCTAAGAGCAAAGAAAACCTCTTGAGCAAGACTACATATTTTGCAAAGAGAGCAATTGAGAAAGAACTAAAAAAATTTCTCCCCCAATCCCAATTTCTTTATCCACTTTCTAAAATATATCTCTACTATGCAGAGTTTCAAACGTCACACTAGTGATTTTAGAAATGTGGATGATATTCTTGCTTTTTCAAGATAACATACTGGTTCAAAGGACAATTTAGTTACACCTTGCAACCTCATTCTTTGTCCATGTGTAACGAAGTACACATTCAACTCTGCACATCCGAAAATTGAAAAAGGAACAAAGAAACAGACAAAGGAAGCATAAAAAACTGCAAGTTCAACATCCACGACCATACCTGAGTGCTGAGTCTATAGGTCATGAGATCAAAAGATCCATCGGGAGGTATGAAGGATATCGTCCGATCATTTTCAAATCGCGCCAAACGCACACACCTAATCAGAAGTAGATATTTGAGAGAGAACAGGGACAGATTTTTTTCTGATATAAATCACAAAAAAATAAAGATAAATATCCATACACAGAAAGGCATAATCAAACTCTAAAGAGCACCTGCAGCAAATACATTCAAAAATCAAGTGTAATGACGCATTATATTTAAATCTAGAGCTCATTACATACTGATGAAACTTGATGTCATCTAGATCAATGGCTTTTCCCTTCGTAGATCGACCTTGCGCCTCCAGAAGTACTCTATCGTTCAGCCCAAGCTTACACTCCGGCATGCCACTGGAAGAGTTAATATATTAGTACTTCAGAATTACAAAAGTTGAGCACCAAACAATAACTGACACATAAAAACCTGGCAAACTTCAGCCATCTTACACGGTGAAAAATACTTTGACAAAAAGGAATTTAGTTCTTTCCAATATAAAAGCATATAGGGTAGTAAGTAGTAACTTAATTACAAGGATAAGCTAGACAAAGAAAGACCAGGCTCCCAAGAAGGTACAGAACATCTTAAAAGAAGCCAAATAAATAGCAAGCATCCTGCATCAGAGTTATTGAAGACGCACAAAAATACATAGAGAATAACACCTTACGTCTGAGATTGAACTGAATTTTTTTCACATATGATTCCATATATTTTAATACATTATTTCCAATAGGTATGTTTCAACAATGAGTTCGGCTTGCGATGGCCAAAGAAAGGGGCAGGAAGACTGAGGCAGTGTTCACCTTTCCAAGTCTCTGATACCATGTTTTGGCAGCTCAATTACAGATAGGAAATGTGACTCCCTGGCCCAATGCTAGCCTTGCTTGAGTGACCCGAGTTGCCGAGTTAAGAAAAAACTGCTTTTGGGTTTATCTTTTCCACTCAGCCCAAAATTGTTAAGCCAAGTTATAAATTTCACTTAAACCTCTCAGTCTCCCACTAATAAGCAGGCAATTCCAACTTGCAACATCCATGTACTACAGTTAAGGCCCTGATGCCCTTTGTCATGTACCACTACATCATTCAGGACTGTTTAGTAAACATTCAATGAACCACTCCCAATGATAAACCCCAATGGGTTCCCTATAATACCACTTGTCACATAGCTTGGTTGTATTAGACCCAATGTGTAACGACCTGGGCCTCGTGCCCTATCGTACGTAATGTCTATTCTAGGGAAGAATCTTCTTTCTTACGAGTCTTGGGTTATTACAAAAAAAGTTTTTTTGTACTGACTCGAGCATCATGCTAAAACTGTTATATCATACGTACCGTCCGCTATGGGAGGGCATCTGCCCACTTACCCCTCATAGCTTTTGTCGCATCCTTCAGAATTTGAATCGAAGACCTCTGCCTTATGAGACACTTAAGTTGAATCTAGGTTGTGCCAGTTGGCAATCAATCATAAACCAGAAGATTACCAAAAACATTCCAAAAAATCTCCTAAAGCCAAGAAAGGCAAAACATGTTCCCAACAGACTTGCGAACCAAACCAGGATCAAAGGAAAAGCTCCACTCCATTTCCTTTCGAAATACAAACATAAGAATAATTGAAATAGTTCTTTGATTAAAAGAGTATGATTCCATATCATACATTACTCCATTGGACTCCAATGGAATTGGAAATTAAGATATTTTCATTTTAAATAGTATTGGTACCAAAATTCAACTTACGTATCTTACAAGGCAGATGTCTTTGGATCAAACCATGGAGATGAGATAGAAAACTGTGGGGGGTAAAAGGATAGATGCCCTTCCAAAGCGGACAGTAAGTATGATATAACGACTTGGGCATTACACAATGGGTTCTCTATACTACCACTCCTCACATAGCCGGCCTACAGCCAGTCCCGTAATGATCCACTAGTTTCAGGCTTAAGAAGTAACTATCACCAATGTTGGACATGGACAAAGTACCAATTACACATGGTGTATTACATGGGGAATATTGGATTAGAAATTGTTCTGAGAAAATTTTGGTATTCTAATGGCTTAATCAGAAATATCAAAATAAGACAGATAATGAAAAATCGGGAGTTTTCCTTATAGTAGCTAAGTTAACTCGTATTAATCTACCAGCATGCCATCTGCTAAGCCATTCCCCCAGGGTCTCTCTCCTCTTTTGATTCAAAAGAGTGAGAAATTAAATGAATAGAGCCAAACATAGTGTTTTTACATCAATCCTATCAATAGTCTGACTTTGTAAATCATCATTAAGCAGTACAACTACTTCAGAGACTGTAGCATCAAAAGATGCAATTGAGGTAGTGAGACTGAGTGAATTGATTTTCGAGGTTGCTGATTCGATTATTTAGTTCAATGTGCAACTCGTTATAAGTTATAACTAGATATTCATTCTCTTCACATTCACAAGTTTGATAAAAAAATTCTGTGATTTTTTGTTATTAGTCAAATCTTGTCTACTGCCATGACAAGTTGAAAAATGAGTTCAGATCCACTCAATCCCAGCACAACACTTTGAAAAGTGTTAAATCATAATAATTAACTGAACCTCCAGATAAATATCCCTGGGAAAATAAAATCAGAGATCATGTTTCTCTGAAGTCTGAGGCACTTAAATCTATTTTAAAACTTAAAAAATGAGCTTGTAGAATGTTTGATTCAAGTGAGAAACATAAAAGAAATTATTTTTCCTGGCAAAGTGTAATTTAGTTAGTAAGCACCAAAAGGAAGAACAAACCCACGTACAAAATCTAGCAAAACTATCAATGCCCCCATTAATAAAGACAAAAATAAGAAAAGAACAATTAGCGATGCATCAAGGCTAGATACCAGCAATCTATCAAAACTCTGAACCTATCTCCATGTGGAAAACCTGACTGCTTACTATAATTGAGAGAGCTTTCAAGCCTCTTTTAAGTTCCACTCTTGTTACAAAGGGGCTTTCTTCTTGTAACCCTTCTCATTCACTTCATCTTAATATCTTATCATAGATCCTATGAGGCACGAATGCAGACACAGACATGGACAAGACAGGAAAACAAACATTGGACATGAGCATGGACATGGGCATTGGCTACGGATACGGACACAGACACATGGCATGTCGAACACTTGTCCTGGAGTGTCTCGGGAGTGCTGTTCTCATGATACAACACGTGTTGGAACTGGGACTTTGCCCCAGTAGGAGCGTGTGCTTCATTGCACAGATCTCTTCGAAAACTCCTTAGACTACCTACCATACTCTACCCATTGAAAATGTAAGAGATCGTCAACTCTCTTCATTTTCTCCTAGTCTGTGCCCACCACCACCTGAAATATTAAGATTGACTACTAAAAAAAGTTCTCTAATAGGTCAAGAGGGAAGCCAAGTCTATTACTCACCACTGATCCATCATAAGTAGTTTCCTCAAAACATATTTGAACAAAAAAACCATCAACACCTCCCTCATAAGTACAATCAGCCCACTAATTTTCAATCCCCACCACACACGCACGCACAGGTCTGGGAATGCAGCAAAGTAAACTCAGGCCTCAAATGATGCCCAGAATGTCAAATCAAATCCCATTAAGAATATACAGCACACCAGTTACAAATTACCACTTCTTTCTCTTCACTTCAGAATATATCATCACTGACAAGTATCAAGGATTGAAGGACAAACCTCAAGTATGTCCGCATCTTTAATGCCCCAACAACATCTGACCTAATTATTTGTCCATTGCTGTTGACAAGTATATTAACACTTTCTACGACATCCAAAAAAACCTGAAGAAACAAAAACTAGCTAGATAATCCAGTCCTTCAAAGAATTAGCTACACGGCTAGTAAGAAAGACCTACTTCATTTTTTTTGTAACGAATCCCTTCACTGCGCCAAGAAACTGCATTTGTTACAGCCATTGGAGGCCTCTGCGTAACTTCCATCCTATAAGCATCAGTTTTGATGAATTCACTAAGAATTTTTGCTTCAGTATATTGAGGGTAACCGAAGTCCATCATTTCATCAAGTAACTCGTACTGTCAGAGGCATGAAGCATCATCAGTTCTAGAAGATCCAAACGTTTATTTCTTTGACATTTCATAGTAAACTATCAATTTGAAAGAAGAGATGAGCAAATTTTCTTACCACCACAACAAAATTATCTCTGAGGGATTCCTCTTCTAACTCTTCAAAATAATGTTTAAAGACCTGCCATTAGATTGCAACAAATTGACAAAGTAGCCTAAATTTTATGATTAAAAACTAAATTATAAAAGCATACTGAAACTCTATTACCAATAAAGCTTACATCAACAACACGGTGTAGGAACAGAAGAAGGCTGGCAGCATTGCAGTTTTGCCGGGATGCAGTCATGAGATACACATTATTGTGTTGTATAAACATATATGTGACACCATCATCATATACAACAGGATCTTGAGAATCCGGCTCACCCTAAAATAGGTTATTGTACCCCACCATGTGTCAGTCCCTTTGTTCATTTTTAAACTAAATACTATTTCGAACAAAAAAACAACCAATTAGCAGGCATGCAGCAAAATTTAGTAACGTCAGTCTCAGAGGATACAGAAGAGAAATTTCAGATTTTTTCTTCTGTCTGAATTATGTAATTTGATGTGATGTGGTTTTTGTTTACTAGGTTTCTCCCATGTTTCAGACAACATAGAACTTCCAAGAAAAGTGATATCCAGGATAAGGTTTAAATTTTAGGGGGAAAAGTGGAGGTAATTCTTGAAGACATCATTTTCAAACTATATTGTGTGAAAATTATTAATGCATGGAACTGAATTTTCTTATCGAAGTTTAAATCCATTGAATCACAGAACTTAATATTATCAAATTTACCATTGTACGAAATGAGGTTCCTTCTTGAAGGGCAAATAATCAAATCAAAAACGAGTGAAGATTCAATTTTGGGTCAAGCTATCTCTTGTATGAACTGAATTATGTTCACATTCTTTGTCAGGCTTAAATAGACCATTTAGGTAGTTAATCTACAATAAATCCATCCATTTTATCCTCAATTTTAATCGTGCAAACAGATTACTATAATATAAGCCAATTGAAAAATATAAAGATCGTGTTAAGTTAAAGTTTTGTGTACAAATCCTAAGCTCTGAACTACACTTCAAAAAACAAAAAAAGGGAAAACTAATTATATTATGCCCATGCCTTCTTTTGGCTTCAATCAACTCATCTAACCCCTTACATTCATCAAAACTCATACCACATTCAACAAAATTATTCCTAATTACGGAAATCTCAATAACTAAACGTAACGAAGCCAGTCAAATCAAAAGCAGAAATCAATAATCTAGACATATTTTTCGAAAAAGAATAAAATTCAGTAAACATAAATCAATTGAAGAAAATGAAAGATCAGACCAAGCTTAAGTTTTGCATACAAATCTGATCCTCCGCACTAAACTTAACTCTTACGACCCCCCACCCCAAAAAAAATAAAAAGAAAAATCAATTAACTTAAACTCATGCTTCTTTCAGCTTCAATCAAACCACTTAACATCTTACATTCATCAAAATTCAGTAACATTCAATAAATTAGTCTTAATAACAAAAATTTCAATAAATAAATAATAAAAAAGTCAGTCAGATCAATAGCAGAAATCTGTAAACAAGAAAGTTCAGCAAACATAAATCAATAGAAGAGAAAGATCAGATCAAGCTAAAGTTCTGCATACAAATCCGATCCTCTGAACTACACTTAATCAACAACAAAAGAAAAATCAATTAAATTAAGCTCACGCCTCCCCTCAGCTTCAATCAAACCATTTAACACCTTATATTCATCTAAATTCATACGACATTCAACAAATTATTCAGAATTTCAAAAATCACAGTAAGTATAATCAAGAGAAGAAACAGTAAAACTTGAAATGAATTAATAAGAAATACCTCTTTTTCAATGAGCTTCGTGAAGAAGCGTTCGGCTTGTGTAGAGGAGACATCCCCACGGTAGTCTCGCCACACCAGAACCCTACCCTTTATGTCCAATAGGAACAGCGCCGATGCTGCTCCTGCCATTAATTTAATTATAATTTATTTACTAGTCTTCCTCAAAATTCAATATTATACAGATCGCAACAGATCAAGGAGATTTATGAATGAGAGATCTGGCTGGTAATTTGTTGATTTAGAGGGAATTAGAAGGCCGAAATTGGAACGAAAAATCTCTTTGAAAATCAATCATTTTTTCTTTACTTCTGCAATACAACAACGCAATCGGGAAATGAATTATGAGAAATGAGAATTGCAGAGTGGAGCTGCAGAATAATGAGCGAAGAAAAGTGGAGAAAATTTTGATCAATCAAATTCGGGTTACCAAGTCGGATCTTTTAGGCTCATAATATCGGATCTTTTGAGGCCCAACTCATCAAACTTTCTAATTTCTTTATTCTTCTTTTTTTCTTTTTTTTTTTCCGAAATTTTTTAAGAAAAAAAAATTCTTGAGTGTGATATATAATGATTAAAATAAGTCCATTCAATTCCTATTAGGTTTGAGGGTTGAAAGGTGGAGTAATTACTTTCAATTTTAGTAAACCAAAAAGGGATGATAAAATTGAAAATAAAAATTACAATAAATATTTTTAATCGAATGATACAAATGACGCTTTCCCGCTCAAGTCGAGCAAAGCATATTGACAACCTTTATTTCAAAACTTTTAATACTCATACTCATTTTCAACCATATTTATACAATAAAATATTTTGCACGTAAATTAAAATTTTTTTTTCTAAAGGAGTTCAGAACGTTGGCTTCGTTGGCACAACTCAACTCACTTTACACCTCTACTTATACACTAAAAAACAATAATTTGAATGTTTACATTGTTGTCATTGAATTGTAGAATAAGGATTACGACATGAAGTATCAGTTCAATATTTGTTCATATAAGTGGAAATTAAGGATCATTACTCGAGCATTAGCTTTATTTTCATCTGTGACTCCTAACTTTTTTTGACATACAACTACGATAAATTGATTTCATCTTTTTGCTCGATTATATATAGTTAAGTTGGCTCGATCCTCAGCCAATTGTGGTCAGAGTGGAAACTTGACCAAGTTGCTTTGGCAAGATTTTACGTCTCTACCTCAATTTATCGACTTCACTTCCTTAAAATTTGTTAATTAGAGTGTCTCTGAATTATGTCGATCTTTCAAATTTGTTTTATTTAGAAATGAACTATAATAGTTTCAACTAAGAAATTTACACATGGAATCTATTGGTTCCATTCGTAAAACGAAAACCGAACCAGACCACAAAATAAGTATATAACAAAACTTAACTTCATTATTATTTTCAATGAAAGTAACCATCGAAATTAAAGCATATACATGTGCTAAAATCCTTTCGACAACTCTGTACACGGATCGATCAAAGTTCTTAATCACATCGGACGAACATTAAACACTGAAGAGTTATGTCGATGTGGAGCCCCAATTTCTACCTTATCCCTATATGCCTTCGACTCTTGGAGAAAAGAAGAATATGAGCACTCAAAAATAACTTCCAAATCCACAGTTAAACCTGGAGTGCAGCTGCAATGGGAGCAGCAAGGCTTAGAACCTCGAATGGGGATTTGTTTTTCACCTGCTTAATTGTTCGTGGGCACGAGTCCGTGATCCAGAAGTAAGTCATTCCGTTTTCGGGATTCCCTGGAAGAGATTCAAATATAAACTTGTATCAAAATGAATTACATTTTGATAATCCAACATCAATCAAAAACCACATAAATGATACAAATAAACTATCTGGTAACTACCTCCACCATCATGTTTAAACCGCTCCCACGTACTATTCGGGAAAATTCCATGTGTCACATAAGCACTAATTTTTGCAGCTCCATGCTTGGCCAAAACTTTCTGAAGAAAAAGAACAGAAAAGGGATAGTACGCATTTCTATAACATAAAATCTAAGTTAATCAGGAGTCAATTTTGTTATGGAATAAGAATAAAGACCTCATTGGGAAAAGAAGATTATAAAAGAATCGTTTGTTTTCGTCTCTAAAGGAACTTCATTCCTACTGAAATCACGTAGATTTCTTAACATGTCGGCGAATGTCCAAATTATTTTAGAAAAACCCGATTGAAGGACACCATCTGCTCCTACCTGGCACTCTAATAGTGTGCCACCTGACTGCACAAGATCATCCACTATCACAACATGACGTCCCTTCGGGTCTCCCTCCTTAAGGCGTACAATACGTTGATCACCTTCCCTAACTTTTATGCAAACAATCTGCCAGGAAAATCAATTAAGTTATAACAAAATGCCAATATATTACAGCATACTTTGTCGGGAGTATTCATGTTTATTTCAATGGCTTCATTTATATGTCAGTAATATCGTTGAAAATTGTTTACCGTCTTCATTGACAGAAATCAAAGTCATTTATATGTAAAAATTATAAACTGAAATCAATGCATTTAAATCTAATATTGATGTTGAAAATAAGGTTGGATATAGAAGCAATACTGTTGGAAAGTGTTGCAGCTGCTTGTGAAATCGTTTCCATGCGCCATCATCTGGAAATGCAATGGCTATCTGGATAGAGAAAAGTAGCAGAACCAGGCAACTGTTAGAAAGGGAAAGACAAATTAATTTCATTTTCATCACTTTAATTATGCGATCACGGGATTTTATATATATATATCAGTTTTGCAATTTCCAAATACAAATCGTGCGAGCATTGCTTCAAGCTTAATTTGAGATGAAAAGTTCAACTGTAATCTATGATAAAATATGCTAGATGAATTGATAGTACTGGACCATGTTACGGTAGCAAGAAAAGCTAAAATCCTGTTTATTATGATGTGTGATCTTGACCAATATTGAATACCAAACATACACTAAATATGCCATCTTTTTCACTAAAATCTCAAGTTGAGAATCAAAATACGTTTGATTGACAATCACTTCGAGCGCAATGTGTTGGAATAATGCCAAGTATCTGCTAATGCAACAAAATCTAGAGAAGGTCTTACATTGTCAGAGTCGGGGAGCCTTTGGAGCCTATTTAAGAGCAAAGGTATACCACTTTCAAAGCATGGTAAAATATTCTCTCCAAAGTAAAATCTCTCCTGCAATACAAACCATTGAAACAGTAATATTTAGGAAAGACGAGGATGACGAAGACACATGAGTACAAGCACAAAGTTATCGGAGAGTCATATTTTTCAAACACACCTGCAAGGCATGGATATCAAAAATTACCAAACTGGTGGGTCCACCCCTCGAAATCGGAATATTTGACAAGATCCTGGCTAGAGTAAAAGCTGTGGCAACATCTCCTTCCTCCTCCATCCGCTCAAACGTGCCCGTTGGGAAAAATGGGAGGACAAGTGTAAATGATGAGACAAACAGCTTTGGCAGTGCATAGATGATAGACAGTTGTTCAAAGATAACTCCGGGAGAGCTAAATGAAGCAAGAAAAGCAACATGCTGTCCACGAATTCCATGAGCATTAGATATGAATAAGTTGGGAAATCCATCTTCGAATGTCCTGATTAATTAAAGTTCCACAGAATAAGTCAAGGTTGCATATCCTTACCCTTAGCGTCAGAGAGATATTGACAAATAAAAAATAAAAAAACTAGTAGTCCGATAACCTTATTTATTCCTGAAATTATGTCTAAATTGCAAAAATCAACACAATTTAGCAAGGAATGACTAGTTAGAGCAACTAGAACGATAAATCGTCATGTTAGGTACTTGGAAATGGCAGGATGAAACACAGTTGGTTCCATTATTTATAGATAAGAAGTCTCGTTTACTCAAGACGTGATAATGAAAATCACATGGAATACTACTCTTTGGGATGTTTTCATTTTTAAGAAGCTAGAAAAATCTTTGACTAAACCATGGCATTCATTGTGGGACAACAAGAAAAACAATAACAAGTTGAAAAAGGAGTCGTCTTGCAATAAATCTGTTCTACCCAGAAATAACCTCATACTAACGAAATCTGATGCAGAGAATTGATCAAGCCACAAGAGCTCGATGGTCAAGTTTATGCTGATAAGAGATGGAGCTCAAGGATTGAGCTCATGTCGTGAAGTGACTGAAAAGAAGGGACCAGGCTCACAACTTGGAAAGTCCAAGCTCAAGGTTGTGAGCTCCTGCCAAACCCAAGAGTCCTTTGGAATTTGGTTTAAAGATGGGAAAATTTAGTTAAGTATAAAACGTGGAAAAGTGACTTTGAGTCAACTTTGGCCAAATATTCGGACTTGATCCGATAGTTAAATTATAACTATAAATAGACTAATTGTTCTACTCGTTGAGTGGATCATCGTGGTATATTTGGAATCTCAAAATCAATTTCGGATGAATAAAAATTGCGATCCAAAGTTGGAAAGAAAAGAGAAAAAACTGGTGGGGAAATTTGCCTAACTCCATCCCTCGCCTAGCGCTTGAGCAATGTGGCGGGCTACAGAATTTCTGATGAACATGTGCCACTGTCACTCGAGCGATACGGCTAATGATGGCAAAAAAATCGGCCCCACCCTGTCTCGAGTCTCGGGGCCCGGGCCGGACTCGAGACAAGGCGGGGCAGGGGTGCTCCACCTAGAACCCACCCTGCTGCCATCTCTAGATACACCAGCAAAGGTTAGCCATAGGAAGGGATGCTTCCCTTCGTGAAAGCTGCTAAGTTTGGGGCGTGACACTTCACTCACAACCTCAACCTCTCACTTTTTATAAATAGGACCCTTTGGACGTCCATTATGCATCCCATATCATTTGTATTGAACATTATATCAAAACTCTTGCAAAAACTCTCCAAAAATCATTTCAAAAACATTTTCTTGTAGAGAGAATAATCCGTTCGAGTTCGTTGTTGCCTTATAGTTTGAAGTGCTTCTATTATAAAGAAGTAATCCGTCGTATCTTAGGAGACAATTGATGTTACTCCGTTAGCACCATTGCGAGACAAATTTGTCTTAACGAAAGAATATTTTCACTTGCCTCGGATCATTTCATCCCTTTCTTCTTCTTCATTTCTACTATTTGTTACTTTGTTTAACTTCATTTCTACGTTATTTACTTAGCCTTTTGTTATCCACTTTCAAAACAAACTTTACTATATCCCCAACAGAGTCCGAGGCAGAGCCAATCTGAGGAGGCCAACATGAGCTCAAAGACTAAAGCATTTCTAACACGCAGGACAGTTCAATGCTCATTTCAAGTTCTCAAGTGTGACAGTAAAGCGGCTATTTCAATTTTTAAGAATTTGATAGCCAACCTGCTCATCAGTAAATGTCAATTTCTCCTCCCTATATGACCTAAAATTCAATTTTTATCTGAGATCACTGAAACTCTATCTGAATACTCCAGGATAAAACAATAAATGACTTCATCTTTTCAAAGTGGAATTCGCTGCCAGCCTACCACTACTTACTCAAGTAGTCAAACTCATTAACCGACTATGTTTTTCTGGTCACGATATTGACACATGAACTCTAATTGTTATCATGTAACAACTAGGCATTCCTGTGATCCCATTTTCCAGAATTCACAATTACTACATATACTCGATTAACCCCCAAAAGTACAAAACTAATAGAGGAAATTATATCAATTTGCGCAAATATATTACCAATTTTTCCCGAATTAAAAAAACCAATAAGGGGTACCTCCAGGTAATTCCACGGAGCTCAATACTGTCAGATTCTGACGCTATTCTTTCAGCAAGATCCTTCATTTCCGAGCAGTAAAAAAGGCAAACCCTTTTCGAATTCTTAATTGAATGGTCCATAGATGAAGCCATTGTGAGAGGAGAAGACGATGGAGGTTTAAGAATAATGTGAACGCGGTTACTTGAGTCTATGGTCAAGTTCTGAGAAGAGGAGGAATTATTCTCGAAGCTTCTGAACTCGCACTGTATAGTGAGAATAGTGGGTTTTTTTATGAAGGGGATAAAGATTGTATCGTGGGTTTCGTTCGAGGGCTTTGTGGAAGCTAGTGGGAGGGTTGGGAGCAGTGATACGGCGGACATCGCGGTGGCGGGCGCGGCGGAGATGAGAGTACTGAGTTTTCGGATTGTTCTTTTAGTTAGTTAGTTAGTTGCAAAAATGCCATTCTATTTAATATTAATATTTTTAATGTAAGTCTCTCGAAATGGTTTTCTTATACTATCTTTTACTAAGCCTATTCCTTTGTTTGGTTTCCTTTTTATTGCTAAAATTATAAGTTGGTAGAAATGAATGATAGATAATTATATAATAGTTGTGAATCTATAAAATATGTGATTAAAATTAATATTAACTTAAAAATAAGAATTAAGCTGCAAGTACAGGGCCCTGCTTTACAGGGCCCTACTAGGTGACTCACATGAGGTGGGTCCTGTGCAGGACCCACCTCATTAAAAATTGACCAAAAATTACCAACCCGCCCCCCATGTTTCTCACCTAGCAGGCCCTGCGAACTTGAAGGCTGAAGCAGGTCCCTAAAAATAAATCTTAAGTAACTTTTATGGAAACGCAAACAAATGCTATGTTTTAATAAATTTATTAGTAACTCATAATTTTCAGATAAAATTGAACTTTAATTTTAGCTACACACTCACAATTATTACCCGTTTATTATCTACACATTTTGTGAGATTCAATACATTTTGATTAAATAAATACATTCTTCAAAATATCACATTCTTCTTGCAACTCTCATCTCTTGGGCTCATCTCGATCCCTAGCTACTAGCAACCTAGTCACTCACACTCTATATTGCATTTCTCATTCCTTACCCTCTTCATTGATTTTCCTTAGAAGCCATCAAGCAAACTTAAACGACGATGTGATGGAGGGGAGCGGAATGCTAAGAAACTTACACTACACTGTAATTGCACTCAAATCTTCAAGTTTTTGCATAGCTTTAAATTGAACGAAAATTTTGTTACACTTTTGCATTTATTGTGTCTTCAATATAAATGATAAAAAAGTCTTTTTATGCCCTCGCATGAACTTTTTGGACGGAAACCATTATGATAGATGAAATGAGCTAATTAATGAAATGTTGAAAATAAAA